GGGGGGGGGGGGGGGGGGTTGGATAAGGCACCCTGGGTTGTCACTGCCCACTGCGTGGGTCAGCTTTGCTTCCATTCTGATGCTTCTGTCCTTGGTTTTTCCATTTTCCTCGAGGTAGTGGGAGAAGGTGGGCTTGACCTGACATAAGAGCGGCACCCCTTCTCCAGCCTGACCCAGCCCCACCCAAGCAGCTCAGGCCAGCCTGGGCCATGCTGTGAGGGCAGGGCCTGCATGAGCTGGGCTGAAAGGGGGTGGCCTGGGCATGAAGGTCTGGACTGGCCCTGGGCTGCTTAGGGAAGCAGGGGGTGAGCCCTCCCAGTGTGGCACAGAGCTGGCCCTGCATTCACCAGGACCCTGAGCGGCCAAGGAAGCAAGGCTGCTTTCTCCTGTCCTCTGTCCCCCAGGGAATGGGTGGGTAAGGTTATGCCTTGAAGCGGAGTGGGGAGGGGACCAGGGCACAGGTCTGTAAAACACACACGAACGATTATTAAAGAGGATTTGTAAGAATCCAGCCTGCCGTGGTGGAGATGCTGCTTCCGAGGGCAGGGGCGGAGGACCACAGGGGCGAGCTGATGTGGACGTGGTGGCCGGGCCTGCGGGAAAGAGTGGTGAGCGCCTCCCTGCTGTCCCCAGGACAGGGGGTTCTTTAGGGGCACGTCTGGCCCCCTGTTCAAGCTGGCACACGAGAAGTGTGACGCCTGGCTCTGACCCGCTTGCCTGGCTACCGGCCTGCCTGGGGTTCGATTTGCGTGTTCAAACAGGTGTAGATGGTACCCCTAGGGTACAGGTGCCCCCAGAAAGTGACCCAAAGTGGGCTGACTGCGGAGGTGGGTCAGTGAAGCCACAGAGTAAACTCTGCCTCTTTCTAGAGCATCTTTTTTTGTGTGTTTACAAAAGAAGGAAACATTTTCATATTGAAGAAACGTGAGGGAGTAAGGCGTGCAGAATTCAGGAGGTTTAGACGTGCAGAATTCAGGAGGTTTTGAAAGATTCAAGAAGCATCTTTAAAGGAAGTTCTTACTTGTACTTACTCAAGTGAGGAAGTTGAGCCCCAGCACACAGCCCTGCCAGCGTCAGGAAGCTCAGGGGGCTGTGCACACGCTCTGCCCTGGCGGCTGCTTTAGGAATATGAGCGTGGGGTGAGGGTGGGGGGGTCCCCTGGGGTGAGGGTGTGGTGGGTCTGGAAGGCTGGGGGAAAGCCCCATCTAGGTCACTCGCTCCACCATCTCCTCCCCTCTGACTCCTCTGAGGCCCTGGAGGCAGAGGAGGGCGTGGGTGGGTGGGGGGACTCTCCTCCCTAAAGGGGGGCGGGAAGAGCAGTGGGTAGGGTGTTTCAGCAGGAGCCACCAGGTGGCGCTGCTGCCCCATCCCAGGAGCCTGGGGGAACCCGAGGTGGTTCCCAGGCCGGTGGGTCTCTCCCTGGGTTGCAGCTGGTGAAACTGCAGATTCCAGGGCTCAGCAGATCAGAGGCAGCAGATCTGGGTCGGGGAGAATGAACCAGCATCTTGGACAGCCCTCCAAGGTGATTCCTGAATCAAGTCGCTTTCATTTCTCAAGCCCTGACAAGAGGTAGTTTAGAGATGTTCCCTTCCCAAAAAGAGACAGGCTGGAGGGTGGGCCTGGGGCAGACAGTGCTTGTCTATCCAGGAAGTGGGGGGCACACCTTAGGAGCAGCCTAACACTTCATCTGAACCTAATTAAATTCTTGCCAGAGGCTTTCTGTGGCTAAAACCCTAGGCAAATCTGAGCTGGGGCCCGTGGGAGGTATCAGACACAGCCCTGGGCTGAAGAAGCCTTCAACTCCAAGGTGTGGTTTACCATAATCAGGGATTCCCCTGGAGCTCTTACCCAGCTCCAGGGGCTGAGGGCTCCCAGTGAAGCCATTCCAGCTGATTTTATTTTGTTTTTTTATAATTCGCCTCATTACACAACGGAAGTACATATAATAAAATATAAAACAATAGAGAAAATAATAAATTTATGAAGAAGCTCCAATGCTTTGGCCAACTGATGCGAAGAGCCAACTCATTAAAAAAGACCCTGATGCTGGGAAAGACTGAGAGGAGGAGGAGAAGGGAGAGACAGAGGATGGCGTGGTTGGATGGCATCATCGACTCAATGGACGTAAGTTTGAGCAAATTCTAGGATATACTGAAGGACAGGGAAGCCTGGCGTGCTGCAGTCCATGGGGTCACAGAGTCAGGCATGAATGAGTGACTGAACAACAGCCACCACAGTGAAGAAGCATAGACTTGAACGAAATAAACACAAGTTTGAGTTGCCCAGCCTGGTGATGGCAAATGCATGGTGTGCACAGAGTGTGTTCCCCGTGGCTGCACGCACAGCAGACATCACTAATTGATCACCCATCTCATTTTCTTATCCCAGATGTACTCAGGCTATGCTCCCAGCTGATATCCCTCATTGCAGCCTCTGAATCCTTCTCAGCTCAGCACAGGTGATCAGTCTAGCTGGAATGCAGAGTGAAAGCAGTTGCCAACCTTGAACTCTAGTTGCTTTGTGGAACCCTATAAAATTTTACCTCTGAGCTTCCTGGTGGTCAAAGCAATAAAGGGAAAATTTTCAGCTATATAGCTTTAATTTCTCAAGGTTTCCTTAGCTTAACCACTAGGAAGACTGCAACTGGCCAGAATCTAGAATTCAAGATGGCTCAGTTCAGTCAGTTCAGTCGCTCAGTCATGTCCTACACTTTGCGACCCCATGGACTGCAGCATGCCAGGCCTCCCCGTCTATCACCAACTCCTGGAGTTTACTCAAACTCATGTTCATTGAGTCGGTGATGCCATCCAACCATCTCATCCTCTGTCATCCCCTTCTCCTCTCACCCTCAATCTTTCCCAGCATCAGAGTCTTTTCAAATGAGTCAGTTCTTTGCATCAGGTAGCCAAAGTATTGGAGTTTCAGCTTCAGCAATCAGTCCTTCCAATGAATATTAAGGACCAATTTCCCTTAGGATGGACTGGTTGGATCTCCTTGCAGTCCAAGAGACTCTCGAGTCTTTTCCAACACCACAGTTCAAAAGCATCAATTCTTTGGCTCTCAGCTTTCTTTATAGTCCAACTCTCACATCCATACATGACTACTGGAACCTCCTGCATTGCAGGCAGATTCTTTACCAACTGAGCTATCAGGGAAGCCCCCAAGATGGCTCTGAGACCCGCAAACTTTGCTGTCCCTTCATGGCAGGAGCAGAAAGTATAAATGGACCTGCTGTGCCTGACCTGGAGCTGGTTATCGGCAATGGGGACAGGAGCTGCGCTGTCTGTCGAGGAGGACCCAGGAAGATCTCGTGAAAGTGCTCGGACCCGCCAGGTGACAGTTCTGCATAGCTGGTGCGTGGCCAGCCCTGACTCTGAACTAGTCCCACTGACATGTTCACTGATTTGCTCACTACAATCCAGTGAGGGGCATGCTCACGATTACCCCCATTTTACAGATAAGGACAACGAAGAACAAGAGCTTAACTAGTTCCCTCAAAATTCTGCTATTGCTCAGAGGAGCAGGAGGGACTTCCCTGGTGGTCCAGTGGTTAGGATCCTGCCTTCTAACACAGGAGACGTGGGTTCAGTCCCCAGTCAGGAAACTAAGATCCCACGTGCCCTGGGGCAGCTAAGTCCACCAGCCACAACGACAGAAAGCCTGTGCACTGCCATGAAGATCCAGCACAAAGTAAAAAAGTAATTTTAAAAATAAAAGGAGTGGGAGCTATATCCTGACCATTGGGTTGCACCGTCTGCAGGTGAGGGTGATCCTATTGGCAAGGCAGCAGGGAGCTGACCCACTGAGAAGGCAATGGCAGCCCACTCCAGTGTTCCTGCCTGGGAAATCCCATGGACAGAGGAGCCTGGTGGGCTGCAGTCCATGGGGTCGCAGAGGAGTCAGACACGACTTAGCAACTGAACAAGCCACCATCACTCTGCCCTGCAAAGGGACCCATGAGCTACCCCTGCCCACGGTGGGCTTACAGCGGGGAGAGAGGCTAACGAAAGAGACGAGGCTTGGTGTTTGGCTGACGGCTGCGGTTCCTGGCCAGATAAGGAGAATCTGGTACTTCAGCTGGACTCAGAGCTGTATGGGGACAGGGATGGGGTCTGGTTCAGCTTAGCAGGCCCTCCGCGCCCAGGCAGCAATTCTATTACACAAGGTTGGGGGTGGGGAATGCCCGTCCCCTGGCCTGAGAGGGGCTCAGTCCGTAGGTCAGGCAGACCTGGGCTCGAACAGGAACCTCAGATGCTCCGGAGCCACGCGAGCCCTGGCAAGCCTCTTCATCTCTCGGTGCCTCACTTTTCCCATCTGAATGTTGGGAGGATGCCAGAGTCAACCCAGGCTCAGGTCACATGGAGGATGTGGAACCTGTAGGCACCTGGGCCCCCAGGAACCCCGAACCCGAGCGAACAACTGTCTCCCTGGGCTTTGCCCATCTCCTAGTGCCCCCAGCTGAGCAGACGTCTGTCCTGTCTGTCTGAGACCAGGGCGGCAGAGGGTGTGGGGCTCACATGGAGGGTGAGGGGCTACAGGAAGCAGGGCCAGAGGAGCCCAGGGCCCTGTGAGGCAATGGGGGAGAGGAGGTGGTCATAGGGCAGAACTTCCCTGCCCTTCAGTAATGCCCGTGGGGGTGGGGGGAGGGCCCAGCGGGATGCCTGGGAGAAGTAGACAGGGGGTGTCAGACCTCTGCCTGGGGTCTGTCTCAGGACCCCCAGGCCCCTGGAGTTGGGGATGACACCAGTGTGGGGCCAGCAGTCAGGTGAGCACTAGGAAACCTCCAGCTCCTTTCTTCCCCACGCACCTCTCTCCTCAATCCCCCTGGGCCTGGGTGGCAGAACAGGAGAGCCAGGACGGTCTAGAAAGCCCAGAGTGCACCCCTCCCCCCAAAAAGAATAGCAGCAGAACAGTGTTGTCTGGCTGCGAACATGATGTGAAATCTG